AAAAAATAATTTTTATACAATACTTTATTAGTAAACAATATATAATTATACCTAGAGTACAATGGTATATTATATTAACGTACTTACCTCATCCGATTGATAATCTCCTCCGGTAACCAAACCATGTCTTCTAAAATATTCCCAAGCTTTTATTGGGTAGCCTCCGTGACATCCAAACCCGCACCTATGGCAACAAAATGTTAGTTCCTCTGCTGACAATAATTCATTGAACTCTCCCTCCGTGGCTATACATAAACGGTCAGCAAATGCTGAACTTGAACTTAATGCCTAGAACAATACGGTAAAGTCAACTTATTTCGTCAATACAATGTCATCGTCGTGCAAACAAACGTACCCAGCATGATCCGCAATTTCCTTGATCGCGAACCTTTCCAATTGTACGACAATGTTTCCATTTTTTCCTAGCATCGAACTTAGATGGTATTCTATGACATAAGTTATCGTAAGCCTCGTCGTGTGTTTTAAATTCGCTTAATTTGGTTTTTTTGGCTAACTCTACCCCTTTGGATCCCAAAAGTTGTAAAATTGTCTCTTTCGTTGTTTTAGGATCAAAATTATGGCCCGCCTATAGTTAAACGACATTTATCAATATTAATATTATTATTCTATTTTTCAGCAAATAAATTAATTTTTGTGCAATCATCTTAGAAATATACATATTATACTTTATTCGTATAAAATTGCATGTCAAATAGAACGTTTGCTGTGTCTATAACATGTTATTCCTTTACCACTCATGCGTATCAAAACTGATTAATTACTCTCTTAAAGGATTCTCAATGATTTTTTGAAAACATTAAAGCTCTAGATTATTCTTTCTATAAGTTAAATTATAATAATATTATGAACTTAACTTCATTAAAAAAATAAAATGTAAAATTTTTTCTGTATATTAAATTATATTTTTCCCAACAATTTAATATATATGTCCTCGTATATATATATATATATATATATAATATGTATATATTTTCAGTATGTTATTCTTAGTCAATATTTTTAATTTACTTAATTCGTTACTAATTTTTTTGTATCTTTAAAATGATATTAAAATGCTACAGTAGTAATATTATAACACTCCTACTTTGATGTACAACGAAATTTTGAAAAAAGTCAGCCGCTTGACAAAATATTTTTTCTTAAAAATAAGGTTTCTGGTTTTTAAAATATAAAATGTTTGGATTCTCAAATTACATTCAAAAATAATTATTAACAAGTATAACGATTTTAAATGCTTATTCTTGTGGTTGAACTATAAATAAAATACCTATACCGTATTTAATATAATTTGCATAACAATAAATTACTGGAATGAACAATATGTACCTACTTTGATTTATAATTTTTCATATTAAGAATGTATTTATAGTTATGATTAAACGTTATATTACCTTCCAAGTCGTTGCTTGTGAATTGATCTGATCGATGTAATCTTTCTCCAAAAAATATGCCTGTTCTGTTTGATACACGCTGAACAAAATTACCGATAGCAAAGTGCAAAGCCGAGTCATTGTAGTGTTGTTACAGTATATTTGAATATTTTATTAAGAATCAAATGGCGTTCGTTGTTACATTTACAACGGCATCTAATGATTCTGTTATTCTTTTTAGAGTATTTATATGATCCAATCACCGATTGAAGTACTTGGTAATATGGTGGAAATTATTTATTTAAAATATGAAACACTTAAAGATTATTTGTGTGTGATGTGTTCTAAGAAATAATAAAACAAATAACAATCTTTTTCAAACCTTATCGAATTTACTTCCAAATACGTAAAAAAAATTGTGTTTTATACATAAGAGTGATTTGTCATAGATTTCCAATTAAAATCGTTTTATCAAATTTATGCAGGTAATACATGTTTGTTTTAATAATTGACTGATCCAAATAATTTTCAATGCAATTCAGAGGGAGCGAAAACTATGGTTGTAAATTATTTTATTCCTTGTTATTTCTTCATCTTCGGGTAGCTGACAACTAGGACCACCCGGTTAAACTTCCAACTTTCGAACCATCTCTATCGGTTGTTTTCTCGTTCCAGTCTGATCTTCAATCTAATATCTCGACGTTTTTTTTAACTTGATCTTCTAATCTTAATTTTTTTTCTAATGGTCTCTTTTTTATACGATTTTTTTTAAAATACCATGCGTAATAAGGGATTCTCACCCCCTCCCCCACAAAAGAAAAACGCTACCACTCCGTAGTTTCAACCATCACGTTACGTATAATATAAATAATTTTCTACCACTATACTATAATCAATAATAGAACATGAAATTTCGTCGCAACTATTTTTAAACGAATGTTAAATAAAGGTAAAGTTAATATATTCTCTAAAAACACATTCCATTATATTTAATTTGTGTACTTTCAGTTCTTATTAATACTTCTGTGCGTGCCACATCTTCATCTTATTATATCGTTTTATTCTTAAATAAAATCGAGCATATTATAATATGTCTTTTTTTGGTGTTCTGTTAATTAATCGGACAGATGAGCGCATTGGAATGTTGTTGTTTCTTTTCTAATCATTTGAAAAAATAAATCATAGTCGATTTCATTAATTTTAATACATTTCAATGTTATTAGCTATACACATTTTTAACGCGTACAATCTCAATGGTCACTGTAAAAAAAAAATGGAAAGATACTTGTATTACCTCAATTTTTGTACACGGAGGTATGCGTTTAATCAAAATCTTTGACTATTTGAATACCTACCTATAACGAAATAACTTTATGTTTAATAAAACTGAATAATATATTATTGGGTCGGAATGATTGTATGAATATAATGTATATTTGCTACATGTAATTTTAATATTATGCATTACGTCATGTGAACTTTGACGCGACTGAAACGTTTCTAAAAGCGTAATAATATTTTATACAGATAATTGACAACTTTAATAATAGTATTAAAAGTATATTCATGTATCTACTGAGTAGATTCTACTCTCGCTCCGGTCCCGAGTAATAACCTATGAATAATTTATAACAAAAATATTGAAGAACAGTATTACATGGCTCAATTAAGTTATATTGACCATCAAATAGGATACTGTATTATACATAAATAAAAGAGATAAAAAATAAAAATAAATTACGAAATATTTATGAAATAATATTTAAATCTGTGCGTGGCACATGTTTGAAAAATGTCATCTACGTACTATATAGTGTGAAATATATATATATAAATATTTTAATCTTGAAAAACGTATAAAGAGTCAACGCATTTGACATAATAAGCAGTAAACCAATAGATTTGTTTCCACTTATATTCATGGACAAGAACTATAAAATATGAACATGTACATATAATTAATTATAATTATATCCAGGCATCAACAATTATAAAATCAAATTAGATTATAAGATTTTAAAGGAAAAATACACTGCGATGGTAATTGTGTTTGTTTTTCAATCGTTCTGCATGAACCCAGTTAACCAAACTATGTATTATTCCCCGTGAACGAATATATCTAAATAAATAAAAACTAATCCTTACTTTCCTTGGTCAAGTCATTACTTGAGAACGGCTTGACGAATTTGACTGATTTTTTTTTTTTTTTTTTGTATTCGTGTTTGTCAGGAAAATGGTTTTATGGAACCAAACTTCTAGAAAGACTATCGAATAAGTCAAACATTTGTTACTGTTAGTATAATATATGACGTGTTCGACGGTCTGTGTCAGATGGACTCCGAAACTTCTTAACCAATTTTGATAAAATCTGGTATAGAGTTATATTAAACCTTAGAAAAAAACATAGGTTACCTTTTGTCGTAAACAAATAAAGTAGGGAAGCATCAATACACGAAATGGCAGTTTAAAATTATAAATTTTACAAGTTTGAAATATGAAGAGATAGTATTGAATACCTAGTATCATTGATTATAGAATAGTTTATTCTATTATCAATGCTATCATTTAGGACAAAATATATAAAGGATTTGCATAATTTTGTTGGTTGTAAGATGTGTTATATTTTTTACTTGACCCTCCTCTTCCCGAAAAAAAATCCTGTATACGCCACTAGTAGAATTTATAAAATTAATCAAAGAATACAGTGAACTATATGACTAGACAGATCAATTTGACCAGCAATTATTGCATATTCACATTGCTTGCTACTAGTATCTTTTAAAAAAACTAAACAATCCATTTTGTAAGTATGAATTTTTCATAAAAAATAAATAATTTGATATATATCATAATTTTTGGTTATTTTTTAGGAAATTAATTTTGTTTTCTTTCAAATTTCAGTTGCATTTAGTAGTACTAACTTTTAATTCACATATCTATAAGAAAATGGGATGAACGAAAAATATAAAATGTTATTTCGGTTAGTCTCAGCATAGTACATCTCACTTTATAACTTAATAAGTATGCATACATTTTTTTTTGTTTAGAATACATCGCTTCTATAAATAATTTAATGTTTTTTTTTTTTTTTTTTTAGTTTCATTCTGACAAAAAAAAAAAGTACAGCATCAAAACCAACTAACTACTTCTACATTTGTAAAAATTGTTGATGATCACATTAATAGTTAATCTTAACTGTATATTTAAATAATTAGGTTAAGTTATATTACATACCATAAGTAGGGCTGTGGAGTTTTTAATTTTTACAAAATATAAAATAAAAATTAACATAATTTCAAAAATAAGTGTAAAAATGATTAATTTTTTAAAACATCCATAGCCTTAAAAATATGTTGTACTCTAGATAGTATAAAGTATGTTCAATGTTCACTTAATTTTTTTAATTTATTTAGGATAGTGGGCATGTGAAGTGTTATTATTTTTTTATTAGGTATGACCATATTCAAATCTTGCAAAAATTTGCACTACGGAAATTTGTTCATATTCTAGTAAAATTAGTGATAACTAATGTTTTTATTGCCCTTGATAATTTAGAATTGAATTCATTATTTGGTCTATTCACACACAAAACAGTTTTAATATGTAATGTTATAATGCAAACCAGTTCAGAACAAAAAATTGCAAAAACAAATAAATCTCGTCCATAAACATCAAACAACAGTTAACCCTCATTTATTATCGCTTATATTATGTAACCATGATGGGTAAATTGTAATATGGTATTAGACTGTCGAACACGTATTTGGAAATAAATTTGATAAGGTTTGAAGATGATTGTTATTAGTTTTATTATTTCTTAAAACACATCAT